TTTAGGACCATAACGGATGTAGGAGTCTTCACTGCCGTTTCGTCGTGGAAATTGAACCTTGCGACTACGTATTAGGGTGACATCAAGATAAACAGGAAATACGCACGCGAAGACACGCACAGACCAATAGAGATCAACGTTGAGCTCGCGTTCGCGCTGAAATCGATGACCTTCCTCGCCGAGCTCCGTTTTATTGGAAACGCTGTTTCCCTGGGAGACTACGAGTCCGAGATAAATATATGTCACGGCTGGAACAATGGAAGCTCCACGCCTAACGAGATTCATTTTCGTTGTTTTATCATCTCGTTTTGAGACCGCTGTTTGCTCGAGCACCTGGACTTTGGCATCCAGGTGTTGCCGTGTCGTTTGTCGCACAGAACGAGGAAAAGTTTGCGACAGTTAGCTCCAAACTGCTCGTGGAAACCTTGAACGAGTAAGGAATTAATCTGGTTTACTAGAAGCGATACACTTTGTCTCAAAATGATCGATGAACCTCGTCTTAACACTTTATTTACTGAATTTCTCCAAATCTCAATCTCTCAAAATCTAGGCGTCCATCTTGGTTTTACACAGTCGTCTCTAACTAACTTCCAACAGAAAAAAAGCTTGTACTGCCACCCAACAATTAAAAACGAACTTCGTAGAAGTGGAGTCACATTACAAAGTCGCAATACGTTTCAAAGCGTTTAATTGATACAGTACCATGAGAAAATTGACGGAACTTCTAAGTTCCTTTAGTAAATAAAGGGTTAAATCCTCTTTCTATCACCTTTTCATGGATTCAACGTGAATATTTCATTCGTAACGCTAGAATTTTTCCGTTATCGTTCCGATGCAAACGTAATCTTGTTTTTCATCATTATCGTTGTTCCACGGAAACGAGCCAGGCTGATAAACTTTAATCGAATAATCGGATTGGACCGGTGCCCCGCCTTTGGTAACGACCGAGCGAGTCGCTCGACCAGAAAATTCTTCGTAATTGAGAAAAGTAGCATCTAAGGAAGAAAGTAATGCGTATAGCGCGTAATTAAAAACAGATCAGGCTCGAAGTAGCTACTGGAAACTATCGAGTAATTAGAATAATCGAGCAATTATTTTGTTTGGTTGTACCGTATAGTTGGATAGAACAGTCTCGCAGTCTAGAACCGTTGTAGTAAGCCAGACGGATGCGATCAGACCTAAGTAGAATACTCCTTGTCGCTGGCCCGACCAGCTTCGCATTTATTCCGCGCTCACAGTTGTACCGTAAGCCTGATTGCACAACAGATTGCATCTTGCACGACACGCATCGATAAGAATTAAGACGATATTTGCACGTGTCTTTGATGGAACTACACGTTAAATCATTAGACTCGATCTCGTAAGCTTTCGTTCCCACAACCGCGCGCGATATTCTATTTATTCAAAAGTTTCTACCAAGGACCGAATTCAACTCGTCTTTGTGTACAAGTCAAAGCGTTTAATACGCGCCCATATAAATAACGACGCATCGAACGCTCTCCGTCCGCTTATCTACGCGTGTATACACGCGGTGTTTGCTCTACTCTTAAAGCCGCGAGTGTTTACACGTGTATACACGGAACGACTACACTCTGTCTCCGCAAAACGAAGCTTCCCAACAATGCTTTTTCCACTGGTCGCAGATGTAATTTCCGCCGCGGAAATTGCACTTTGTCCATTCTCTCGTGTTCCTTTCGAAGCGGATTTTCAATTCGATTTAACGTCCAGGGGAGAATTTTATACGAAGCTTCGACGCGCATCATCGCTCCTCAGCTTCTCGTTTAACGTTGTTAATGATTTTATGGTAATGGTACAGTTCAGTCTTTCGGAGCATTCGTTGCGCTTCTAAGTGTTCTTAGTATACTTGGTACTGGCATAGCATTATTAATCTTGTTGTATTTGTTGTACTTTTTTTGAGAAATCATATTATACTTAGTGGTAGTCTAGTATTATTGATCCTATCGGATTCGTATTCCTAAGAATACCATTGTTAAGACTATCACAAGGGAACGTGCCATGTTTTAAAAATCATCTTATACTTGGTACTTGGCTAGCATTATAAACTCTATCGTATTTGTATTCCTGAAAATAGTATTGGTATGAGACTCTTAAAGAAACATGACTTTTTTGAGAAATCATATTGTATTTGTACTAGCCTAGTACTATTTATTACTTTTGTCGTGTTTGTATTCCTGAGAGTCTCATAAGGAAACATAACTTATTTTAAAATCATATTATACTTGGCTAGCATTATAAATTCTATCGTATTTGTATTCCTAAGAATAGTATTGTTATGAGTCTCTTAAAGAAACATGACTTTTTTGAGAAATCATATTATACTTGGTACTAGGCTAGCATTATAAATTCCATCGTATTTGTATTCCTAAGAATAGTATTGATTATATGTAGTAATATATAGGATTATATTATATATTATACTTGGTGCTAATCTAGTACTATCAATCCTATTGTATTCGTATTCCTAAGAATAGTATCGGTAAGAGCCTCATAAGGGAACGTGACTTTTTTGAGAAATCATATTACACTGTCGCGAGCATATCGAGCCGTCGCATTAGCCGGCAACGAAGTCCTACAAAGTAGGTCTTGTTGCGTATGTGGCCTTGCTTGGAGCTTCGCCTTAGTAAGAGCTTACGATAGCAATACGCACCGATAACTCATTGCCAAAGAACCAAGTCTACCTCCAAGAGACTTCACACCTTCAACGACGAAATTTCCTCTTCTGTGTTTCATTGCATGCCATTGAACAGAAAATTAGCGATAACAGAAATGTATTAGCAGGATCTACACCCCCAAAACTATATATATATATATATCTATTTTACAGTACAGCATATGTGCATAGATCCATGATGGTCCTCATGAGCCCAAATCTGCAGGCTTCTGTGGTCCATTACGACTCCATCACGAAGAAGAAATGGTACCTTCTGTACTTTCCAGACGTAGAACCCCCAGATTTTCAAAATTCCTTCGATAAAAAAAAGTCTTAAAGTTGTACAAAATATTAGGAACAAAGTGGCGCCTGTATAATTCGATAAACGTATAGTAGATGTTTAAGTGCGCAGTGGTTGAATTTCGCTGAGAAATCGGCGCGAACTTTCCAGACAATCCAATTCTGCAGGGTAGGAGCGACAAGGGGGCCATGCCATCCCTCGACGAACGTCACTGGTGCTTCCGTCTTGGCCGGCAGCTTGCGGGAACCACCAGTCGGGTCTCGTATCTCGCCGGCGGTGCACACCACCCTCAACCCTTGGTGAAAAGTATCCCTTTCCTCGACTGATCGACCAGTTCGCGATGGATGGCCAACGCGCGCTCCTCTGACGCCCACCGCAGTTGGACAGTGATTGCTTTGTGAATACTTTGTGATTACCTCGGTAATAACCGCTCGCTCGACGGCTGAGAATCCCGGTGGTTGTGTAAGGAAACGAAATAATAATTTCAAGGGAAGCTCGCTCGCGTGGACGAAGATTCAAACCAGCTGATATATTCAGAAGAATTTTATTTTTATTTTTTCCTTTTATTTTCAAAAGATCTTTATTTTTCATTTTTATATACACTGGAATCATTGCTTTTCAATCGAAACGAATTCACCTGTGTATAATTCAATATACAGTCAGTCTCATGAACATGAAAAGATGTTTATAAAGAAGTTTGTCTAAATTGAATAACAGATTCGACGTTTTCAAATTAATGTTTCGTTATAGACGTGTACATAAACTTAACACTTGTGAATGTAATGAAAGATTTATTTGGAAACATTGAACCTACCCGTTTAGTTTAGACAAGTTCCTTCGATAAATTCAGAATATATCCGGTAGGAATATTTGTGGGACTGACTGTAATTGCATTGTCAGACTCCTATTATCGATACAGTAATGTCTCGTTAAGCGCACAAGCTCGGGACCGACCTTGTGCGACTAACGTGGACATCGTATGTTCTTTGATGTTTGCCGACGAGCTTCAAACGTAAAGAAGGACAGCGAATAAAGAAGAGGACGATGAAACTTTTTTTATCATCAACTTTTTTTGTTGTCAAACCTTTACCATCATATTCCTGACACTTTTCTGATTAAAATGAGACCAAACACGATATAATTCGGATGATATTTACCATGCATCTATTTTTAGTTAGTGTTCTACGATATACAGGGTGTCACAAAAATGTTGGAGGTTTTTGAAAGGGTTGAGGCTTCGAGGCTGGGGCTTCTTTAAAGAAAAAGTTTGTGTCAAATCACTGCCCTGAACCACCCCTTTCAAAGACCTCCAACATTTTTGGGACACCCTGTACAATACATAATAAATCATTACAAGTAAACATGTCGCGAGTTACGTTGTGTTTGGACTCATTTTAATCAGTAAAATGTCAGGAATACGATGGTAAAAGATGGCTGAATTCTGTGCACTTATCGTAGACAAATTTGTGCGCTTAACGAGACATTACTGTACCCATTAACACGGATTACACAACCCTTGGTTCTCAGCGAGCTGGTGGAGTGTATCTCGCGTTTAAACTCACGGTACCGAGGTGTGCGGTAGCAGAGTCGTCCTGGCGCGATGAGATCGAGGACTTTCGACTGAGCCAGGGTAGAAACTATTGGCAAAGCCATGGTGGACAAACTGCACGAGTACGAGGGCTTCGCAGGCAGGGTCCACGATGTCCGTGACAAGATCAAGGAGAGGTGGGAGGTCTGGAAGGAGTGGAAACAAGGGATACCCACGGACCAGGGTATCGAAGGCTTCTTGAATCATCTTCGAGGTCCTCCGAAGTTGGAGAGGACGTTGGACGATTACGCTCATGTCTACAGGTACTGGTGTCGCTCGCCCTCTTGGCGCTGACAATCTCAACTCTTTGCACTCGAGATGCTTTCTTAGCATTCTATTTCTACGAATGTTAAGCTTAATAACCTTTACCCAATCATTTTATCGATGCTTCGAGTTCCGAAGAAATTAAAAACCTGCATTATTAGTAGAGTCACCTCTCGATTGCAAAGGGTCAAGACAGGAATTGGAATCGTCATCAGGAACCGAATCCATTTTCAGGAA